CTTCCCTCCCCGCTTCGCAACCCCGAGTCACTAAAAGTCACATTTTTCCCTGATTTCACCTTAAAAATAAGAATTAAAAGGCAGTCAGGACCTGCGCAGGAGCTGCCAGAACTCTAACCCCCTCTTGCCTCGGCTGGTAGCACCCCGACAGCCTCTGCCCACCTTCTCCCGTGGTTATCGAGCACAACGACCGAGCAGGGAGACCAGCACATTGCAAAAAAATAAATAAATTAAATAAAATAAAAATCCCTTCTTTTCTCATCCACGGCGAGAGGCAGCACGGTCACAGCTCAGAGCCCGGTTTGGAAACCACATCTTCCCACCAAGCACTGCCACCTCCCACCCTCCTCGGACTGCATCTCCCCAGCAAAGGAAAAATGGGAAAAATTCCCCTTTTTAGGTAAATACCAACACAATTGCAGCACAGCTCTTCCAGATTTTACCTTCCCGATGGATTTTTTTTAAGGATCTACTGGCACTGGGAGCTGAAGCTGCCCTGGAAATGTCCCTCTTGCAGCAGCCCCTACGAGAGATGGGAATAAAGGAAAGGGGGGAACAACAACAACAAAAAAAGTCGTTAAAAGTTTAAAGACATTTATTTAAAATACAATTTATAAAATATTTTCTCTCGGGCGTAGGTTTTAGGGTGAAAACACGCGGTACCGTGTTTATCCTCCGCCTTCCTGGGAGGAAGGGGCTTCCCGCAGGAACGCCGCTGAGCCCTGCCCCGGGGCGGCGGGACGTATCCTGGTCGCCGGGAGATTTCGGTGCCGGAGTCGGAGATTTCGGGGCCGGAGGAGGCAGCAACTTCACCACTGGCCAGCTACAGCAGGAACCGGGTGGATTTGGGGGCATTTTGGCCATTAAGCGCTATTTTTTAGTAGTAATTAAGGAAAGGCGCGGTGACTACGGTTATTGCTGACGTCCTTCTCCCCTCCCACGCCTCCGGGGACGACTCCTGACCACCAGCCTGGGGGGGAGGATATAAATACAGGACCCCCCCCAAAAAAAATCAGTGGCCGTTGGGGATACCCGGGGGACATCTGCCCGCCCGTCCCCACCTCACCACCGTCCTCGGTGCTTTAATCAGCTTTAATCAGCTAATTAATGCTCTGGCAGATTCTTTTATACACAGGTAGTTTTATTTTACCGTTTGTTTGTTGTTTTTTTTTAAGCCATATTTCCATACACGTGTCGCTGTACGGTCGCTTCCCCTTCAGACAGCAGGCTTAGTTAAGATTTGCTCGTTTACCCTTGAACCTACTGAGCACGAAGCGGCAGGGAAGGCTGCACCCGTACAGAATAACCCGCCAACAACCAGAACTGGTTTTCTAGGTACCGTCCCCTCCAAGAAGAGCGTTTAGTGTTCATCTCATCCCTCGATATTAAGCGATGTTCAGGTAGGTCAGCTTCATCCAGGGGGAACATCCGTGTTCTTGGGGGCCACCAGCCTCCCTGTCTTCTTCCCAGGAGCCGGAGGAGGAAAATCCCTTCCCCAAAGCCTCGCGGGGAGCCAGCTGTTGCCACAGAGGGGGGAATCATCCAGACTTTATCCAAGGCGGTTTTTCTTCCCCACATTGGCGATTCCAGGAGGCAAACGCAGCTCGTACCGTGACCGAGATCCATCGGAGCCTTCGCTCCGTCGCTGAGCCACGCGGGCTGGGACCCTTGGGAGGCCCCGCTCCCCGTCGTTATGCCAGCCACTAACGAGCGCGGGCCGCACAGAGCGGGGCTCCTCGCCAGCCGTTCATTTCATGGACTGGAGCGGCGCCGGCTGGTTCTCCTCCTCGCAGCGGAGCCCTAATTGTTCGCCGCCCGGCACTCTCTGCCACAAACAGCGGCCGGGCAGCAGGCATTTCCACGGGATCCATCTACATCCCCTTCTCCCCAAATACAAAAAGGAAAAAAAAACACCAACGTATTTTAAGCTTTTCCTCAAAGCCAGCAGAAAATACTTGCCAAGCTTTAACAGGTGCAAGACGTAAACCAGGTCGTGGGGCTGCGCCGGCTCCCCGGGCGATCGGAAAGGCCGGGCATCCAGGAGCCCGCTTCCAGGTGCTTGGCAGCAGCAGAAATAGAGAACGAGAAGCAAGAGCTTGTCAAACCCGAGCCGTTAAAAGTCACAGAAATTCATCGAAAACTCCTTTTCGAACACTTAGCTAACCAACAGTTAAAACCAACAGTTAAACCCAACAGTTAAACCCTTCCCATGAACTCTGTTGATCTGATACACAGAAAACAAACAAGAAAAAAAACCTAAAATAAAAAGAGCTCCTTTGAAACAGAGCTTGCTCGTAAAGTGATGAGGACAACATGCGCGTCTGGGGAGGCTTCCCATTTTTTTTTTTTCTTTTTTTCTCCTTAAATCCCAAGTTATGAGTACAACAAACATTATTGCTGGCGCTAGCTTCAACCCAAGTGGCACACAACAGGCTGCACGCAACCCTCCGAGGCC